TTTATTATACAGAGACAGAAGTTGATTTCTTAGAAAATGTATATAGCTTATTCACTATACTCTGAGCCCTGTGACTAGATATCCATTTTAAAATTCTACATGTAGAACTGTTGTGTTTTCTATACAACAAAGGATGCGTTTGTTTACCACTGCCTGCATTGTCCTTCACATAGAGCAGACTGAACCTCTGACTGGAGCTTGGCTTCTAGATCATCTCTTGATTTTAGAGGAGTTTTGTAAACCTGCCTTTCAGCAATCCCAAGATCCCAAGTTCACCTGGATTGCTGATTCTTGCCTAGGTAACTTGATCCACTCCCTGAGGGCTCACTGCCTCTTCAGTACCGCACATGTCCACTGTTCTGCGAAAGCACTCAGGCCCTGTCAGTTCAGTCAGCTCCAGGCCTCCTGCAGGCCTCCCACAGTTTGCCTCTGTGTGCGTTGTCACTGTACACTCACCACCACAGTGACATGTGTGCCCTGCACAGTCCTCCTTTCTCCACCACTGCACGTCTCCAGACACCTCTTCTTGTCTGTCTCTGAAAACCCTACCTGGTCTTCTGTGTATTCATTCCACACAGCAGTGATGGTTTGAACTTATTTCATTTTCCTTTTTGGTGTGTATAGTCATACACATTCCTGGATTCTCAGCTCTTATCACAGCTTCTATGTGTATATCCTTAGAAAATGTAACAAGGAAAAGGTGTTTGATTAAGTGATTGAGTTTGATTACAATTGTTTGATAAAAAATATTTGATTAAGATACTGACCTTTTAGAGCTGGAGGTATATGGCTCAGTGACAGGGCATGTACTCAGAGGTAATCTTCTCAAACTGTTTTCTTTGAGGACACTTTCATAGATAGAAGGGTCCAGGATCACAAACAAGGAGACAAGCCAGGCCGTCATCCCAGATTTTGATGACCATTACAATGGAACAGTCGCAAAGAATTCAGCTTCACACTGGAGAGCCAGAGACCTTGAGTCAGAAGAGTCAGTGGTTGAGGCATGACAGCCGTCCACTCCAGGCAGGAGGGCCTGAGCAGAGAGGCAGACACAGTGCTTAGGCCCAGTGGATGGTCCAGTTGTGCTGAGAAGGCATGGAGGGGATCCCAGCAGGCAGGGCGGGGCCACAGTCCTCGGCACCTCTCTGAGAAGGGAGGTGCCTGTCCACATGTCTTATGGTCTTTAGAGTCAGCGTGCTGTTCATTAAAGACTGGAAATATCAGAAAAAGGAAATGACTGATTTCTTTAGATGAACTCTGAGCCATTAGCCAAGCAAGCCTCACACATGACCTAATCTATCTGGTTGTAAGATCACTAAGATGATAATTCTAGCAATTTATAAAATTGTTTTCTTTTTCAGGTTGAATGTAATTCTCGCCTTGACCCTATAAATACAACTTTGCTAAAGGTAGTATGTTTGCTCTCACCACTGTGATAACTGAGATACACTCCAATTCTGTGTTTTAAGCTGCACTGTGGGACACTCTCTTCTCAGCACTCATAGGTGTTTGTGTCCCCGCCCCCAAGAATAAGAAAAAATACATTAATTACATTTATGTCTTTATTGGTTTGGAGACAACACGTGCCAAGGCACACATGGAAGTTAAGACGTCTTCCCTCTCTCCTTCCGTCATAGGGTTCTTAGGGAGGTCACTAGGGTCTCAGGCTCAGCTGCAAGCACTTTGATCCTCTAAGCCATCTCACCAGCCCAGAGAATATATTTCCTAAATTACTGATAACTTGCCCACTGAAAAAGAAATATGTAGTGAAATATTAGTGTCTTTTTTCTATATTTTTAGGTCATAATGTCTGAGGAGCTGGAGGTCTGAGCATGGTGGTGTGTTCCTTTAATCCTAGTACTCAGGAGGCACAAGTAGATTTTTAGTGAGATTGAGACTAGCCTGAGCTACAAAGAGAGACACTGTCTGAAGAAAAAAAAAATGGCTGAGATGGTGGCCTATACTTATAATTCCAACTCATAGGAGGCTGAGGATTGCTATAAGTTTGAAGCCAGCCTGAGCTACATAGTGAGTTCCAAGCAATCCTGGCCTACAAAACAAACAGGCAAATAAAAATGAGAAGATATCTATAAACTTGTATCTGTTTTCCTCCATTTATGTTATAAACAATTTCCCATTCTACTCAAAATTAAATAAACATTACAAAATTACAAAAAAAAAAAGTAACACTGAGAATGCCTTATATTCTGAGTTATTTGTTTCACTTCGTTTTTCAAGATAGGGTATTTATGTATAGCAGCCGTGGCTGTCTTAGAACTCACTTTGTAGACCAGGCTGGACTCAAACTCATAGACAGAGATCTGCCTGCCTCTCTTTCTCCAGTGCTAGGATTAAAGGTGTGTGCCACCATGCCTGGCCCCTATTGTATTTTTAAGCATATCTTAGGATAAAGGATACAGCTTTTTTCTCTTAGGCCACCTTATATTTGTTACATATTTCTAAATTGTCAAGAGAATCGTAAGTGTCCCCCAGACAGAAAGAAGTTCCAAGTGATCATTGTCCAAACAGAACTCTGCTCATCATATGTTTGAGGCATGGTTCCTGCCTCCTTCCTTGTCTCTCTCAAGTGTGTATCAAAGGGAAGTCCTGTTACCAACAGCAGTATGTAGCTCTCAGAACACACATAGGCTAGTGCTCTGAGGCTGCCGAACTCACAGTGCTCTGGACTGCAGATGATCCATGGGCTTCTCTAAAATATGGATAAAAAATTATGGCTTCAAATTTGGTGGTACAAGGAAAACAAAAGCCTTGGGAGGTAAATAGTCAGGCGTTGAATGAAGTTCATTGTCAGCTGCATGGCAAGTTCAGAGTACATGAGACCCGGTCTCACAAAACACTGGACCAGCTAGATGGCTCAGCAAGTAAAGGCACTCACTGCCAAGCCTGACAACCTGAGTTGAAAGAGAATTGACTCCCACCAGTTATCATCTTTGACCACACACACATACACACACATATACACACACACCAAGCTACATGCACTCAAAATAAACACAACTTTTAATAAAAACTATTGGAGGTGGAGGCTGGAGAAAAGGCTCATTGGTTAAGAGTACACACTACTCTCGAAGGAGATCATCCACACAGGCATGGTGTGGAGCTGTCCCCTGAAACTTGAGTACTTCACCAGCAGCCACACCACCGAAGATGATGGCTTCCTCTTCACCAGCCCTCCACTGCCTTTAGCTTCCCTAGGCAGGATAGGGTCTTATGACCCCTTCTCTTCCTCCTCTTTCCCCTCATCTTCCTCCTCTTCTACTACTTCTTTCTTCTTCTTCTTCTTCTTTAAAAGAGACAGTAGCTCCATGTATGGTCACGGCTTGGTAACTCACTGTGTAACCTGGACTGGCCTTGTCCCTGGTGTCAAGGGTTCCCATTAGAGGCGTGTGCAGCAGTGTCTTACTTCTAACCAGTTTTTAGCTTCTAAACTTTGCAAACATCCCAGGCCACACCAGTTTGTTCCATTTTATATTTGTCAGGTTAACCAGTTGTTTCTCAGGCTTATTTTTCTCAGATTGTTCCTTCTTAAGCTCAAATTCTAATGCCTTTGTGACATTCTTCTGTTTTAAATAATGGCTCCCATTTAAATCTGATTTTAATTCCATCGATGAAACAAGGGAGATATAGATACCTTTAATTATTTTATGCATATGAGTATTTTGCCTGTGTGTGCATGCATGTGTGTACACCATGTGCTTGACTGCACTGGTGGTGTCTAAGGAGGTCAGAAAAAGGTGTCAAATGCCCTAGATCTGGAATCACAGAGCGTGTGAACTGCCATATGGGTGCTGAGGATCAAATCCCAGTCTTCTGGAAGAACAACATGTGCTCTAAACTACTGAGCCATCTCTCCAGACGTTTCATGGCCCTTTAAATAGAGACAAGTCATTGGAATGGCCCCTCTCTGAGGTCAGGTCATATCATCTGTCTGGCCAGCACACACTGGGAACAGTATTAAGTACAGACTGGCAGATGTTCCACCTCTGTCACAGAGTTAGAAATGCTAGTTCTCTGGCCTCATTGCACACCTATTCAGTCAGAATCCCCAAGATAGTTTCCAAGAGTCAGGATTTAACAGGGGATTCCAGTACACACTAGCAAAGCTCTAAGACCACCCAATGAAAACCCTTCAAAAGTGAAGAACAGCACCCCAAGATCCAGCTGGGGAAGGTGAGGGGCTGGACAGCTCTCCCCTCTTGATGGTATCAGACCCTTTGTCACAGAGTAAGGACAATAAACAGATGAAGGGGAAAGCGGACATGGTGACACATGCCTGTGCCCAGGTACTCGGGCTAAGTGAAGGACTGAGCAACTAGCTTCTTTGGGTACAGGCAGAGCCAGGGTGAAAGGTGTAGCTGGCAACACTGTCAGCCCAACAAGAGGCCTGAAAATCAGGCCTTAGCATCCTGTGGATGAACAGCCTGAGTGTCTCTCAGGATTCTGTCTACAGGTATTGCCAGTGTCAAAGCATAGAGTGCACTGGAGTGATCCAAAAGGTAATGCAGTTAGTTAGCATCAAGAAGCCTACCATTAATTCCTGCCTGTTTGACTTGGGATGGTGAGAGTACTCCCCTCAGCAGAGGTCCACTGACTTAGATGTTCTTCCTCTTCTAGATGGCAGACTGTGGAGGACTGCCCCAAGTAGTTCAGGTAAGGTAGTGTTCATAATAATTACACAGTTGCA